TAGGGTTTAGGGATTAGGGTTTTGTTTAGGGTTCAGGGTTAGGGCTTAGGGATTAGGGTTTAGGGGCGTGCTGTTGCGCCAACTATTGGATTTGATTGTGTTCAGGGCCTGCCTGAGATTTGTGACGGGCCTTTTCCAACCATCAGAGATTTTTGGAAGATAGTAAGGAGACCTACTTTTAGAAATATCAACATGCGGAGAGTCCTTCGGTGCTACGGAACAGTAGAAACAGCAAAGCAAAGCAGCCGGACATCCATGGTCTTTAAGACCTCAACCCTATACCAGCCTTAACCAAACTATAATCGTAGATCCCAAAACTTCTCAAAAGAGGCGTCCAGAGGGCTGCTCGAGGGAGTGTTTAAATGGGCACTCAAGCATTTCAACCAGAAGGCCAGAAGGTCCGATGAAATCATGCCTTGGGAGCATCGGAAGCCTAACGGTTGGTACAGAATAGGGTTCGCATCACAGCTTTAAGAACAAGGGGCACTCTATATACCGTATAAGACCCCCTATATTACCCATTATAGTAGTTTCCTTTTTTTTCATTATCCAATATTACCCCAAGGTTTCTGTGTGGGCACTCTTAGGCGGCACTCCGGGAAGCTTTGTGACTGAGCAGAGGGAAGATGCGTTTTCTCAGGGAATAGAAGCCTTCCATGGTGTTGTGGAGGTGTGGGGGTTTCCCAAAAGATAAGAACTAGAGTATTTTGGGGTGTATTTTGGAGTCCCCCTATTTAGGGAAACTACCATGTGTGACTCCCCCACCATCGTGACCAGCCTGTGTTCCATAACAGACTCAGGTTTAGGGCGTGGGGTTTTAGTAGTGTTCCTTCTACCCTGATTGTTGCTGTTCCGTTTCTAGTGGTACCCCGGCAAAATTTTCTTACTGGGGATTAGTAGAGAATATAGGAATATATTATTTAAGGATTATATATATAGGGATAACTTTCCCTTATTCCCTACTAACCACCAGTAAGTTTTTGAAGGGGACCTGTATTATCTTCTTTGACTCTAGGTTCTCAGGAGTCCTGAAGATAGGTACTGCCACTGTGCTATTCGTTCTATGGGGGATTGGGCCGTATGTAGCCGTACAGGGGCTCAAGCGCTGGTAAGGGATCAGGCCTCTTGGGTTGCAATGATTCCTATCTAGAATTGAGAGCCTCCATTTTGTGATGTGGTTTTTAATTTTGGACATGGGTCCGGCTTTCGCCATATAATGTCGTTGCAACGCTGCAGGAAAAGTAATGCCGTATGATGCTCCGAGGGGCTTTCACATGGCCTGAGACTCAGTGATTCGCTCAGCAAGTTTGGCTTGGGGATGCAGGATTCCGGTTGCCCTAAGCCCTAAACCCTAGACCGTAATCGCCCAGTAAGAATCCCCTAATCCCCAAACAAACTCAGAGGCTTTTGTTTCAAGCTTCTGTCAAAGGTTGGGAAAGTGCCTGCTCATGGGTATCGAACATACTGCCGTGTTGGACCGGGAGGGGGCAGGCATATGTGGATCCGTAGGCTTTGGCAGCCAGGGTAAGTAGGAATGTTATCTCCCTGTATTTTGTATAATATATATATATTTATATTATGTATTGTGGAGCTGTTGTATAGCATGGTCCAAACACAAAGTCGAATAGCGTAGGTCTCTGCCTGAAACTCGTGAGGAAGCCACCCCAGGCCGAATACCCTCGGCCGAGTCCCATTTGGGCTGAGTTCGGGGCTCTTTGGACTAGCCAACAGCGCGTGAGATCTGTCGCGGAATAGCAGCAGTTCCACAAAAAAATGTTATCAATAATATTGGGGCCTTCTTTGGATTGAACATCTGGAATGATGAGCTACCTTGCATAAGCATCTCCTATTTTTTAAGCTACCTAGAGTCTCCAAGAGCAGGTTCAGCCTCAGCACCTCTGCACCCACAGCTGTAGCCAAACTTCTGCAACACTAGACCTACAAGGGAGTTGCCGAAGCAATCCCCTTGTACTGTACTTGGCAAGGATACCTTCCAGCTATCCATACGCCCTCAAGCACCCCCTCCCCCATTTCTGGAGATTCCCACAAAGCCCAACTGCTTGCCCAGATCCCGGGCAACGAAAAGTGGAGGCGCGACTGCTCCATGGTAAGAGCACCTGACCTCACATACTTCTTAAGAGGAGTTCCAAAATTTGTGAATATACCTGGGATCCCTACGGGTGCCCTTCTTTGCGAACTCTACCTGTGAGTACAATTTTGGGGCATGTTTCAAGCAAGCACTCCTACCTCGTGCTCGCTTTGGTGGGTGTGTGCGGCTTCCTCAGAATAATTTCGGCGAGCATATATAGAAGGTGTCCATTTGGGTAGACCATACATTACAACTCTACCCTGTCTCAAACATGCTTTCATGGTCTCCTTCTGTGCTACCCTCGGGCCTTTTTTCATGCTTGTTTATGGGTTGAAAGTTCGCTGGGTTGTGACAGGGATGCCTGCATACTCCGGTTGCCTTTAAATGTGATGCAGGCTCATTGCCTAGCATGATTGGCAGGACTGGCAGGTTCACTTGAGAGGTGAGCTTTGCGACGAAGGCTCCATTATGGACTTGTGCTAGGCTTTGCTGTCTGAACTCATCACCTGCTTGTCTTTGAAGTCCCCTTCCCAGAACTAACCAGTTATCCAGCGTCTTCCTTGCTTTTTTTGGGCTAGGTACCGCGCAGCGCTTAAAGCGCAGTGGGATGCAATCTTTTTTTGTCTGCAGTTGAAAGCTTGCTTGTTTTAAGCTACGCTCAGAGAGATTCTTTGCAAGGACCGGCGATAAGGGCTATAGACGCATGGTTTGGGTTGCTGCCTCCCCAAACCCTAAACCCTGAACCCTGACATACTCATGGTCTGGAGAAAAGGTCCGACCAAAAAAGCCCAAACCCCAAACCCTGAACCCCAAACCCCAGAATGGACATACTCATGGTCTGGAGCAAAGGTCCGACCAAAAAAGCCCAAACCGTAAACCATGAACCCCAAACCTTTTTTGTGGCTATACCACAAGACACAGAGGCGGAGCCTGAGAAGGCATCATAAAAGCCTTGCCAACACTGTTCCCCTATCCCAACACTGGTTTAGAGCTTCGAGATTTTTTGCAGGGTTATAGCACATCTTACCCCCCACCCAAAACCTGTATCAGATATGAAGCCAGGCCGGATGCGGCTGGGCGCACCAACGTGCACGAAGCCGACCTCTACTTCAACAGCAAAAAGCAACCCGACCCTGTCCAAGGGTAGGTTTTCGGGTTTGGGGTTCAGGGTCTATAAGCAAGTTGGGACATTACAGGAATGAGCTAACTAGCCCAGAAAGAGGGGCCTATATCCCACACCCAAACACAGCTTTCCTTTGCTGAGGTTTTCGAGTTTGGAAGATTCCATGGCTTCGGGCTTGCGCTGGTTTGGATACTTCCAGTAAAGATCTGGACTCGATTTGTGGAGTTCGCCCCTTCAGGAAGGTTAAGTGAATCTGCAAAAACTTCCTGCACCAAGAAATCATTGTCGGAAAACCCTTCCTCCCCAATGATCTCCAAATCCTAAACTGTTCAACCCTTAAACCCTAAGCCCTAAACCCTAAACCTTAAACACCAGATCAGAAGCCAGATCCCAGGGCGCCAGCGCCATGGGAGATCCTCTCTCACAAGTACAATGTGTCGAGCAAGGCTCGTGGTCTAGGTCTAGGGGTTTAGGGTTTAGAGTTTAGGGTTTGGGGTTGGGTTTAAGCTTTTTTTTTTGTATTTTTTTTGTGAAGGGCTTAGGGTTCGGTTTAGGGCTTTGGGTTTGGTTGATTGCCACCTGAATCATATGAAGCTCCTCATCACGCTGATAAAAGATACCCCCGCCATGGGACCATCAAACATTTTGGCGGGGCGGGTTGTGTTTTTTTGCGTCTTTGGGGCACAGCACCATGAAGCACCTTCTTCCCCTTAACAAAAAATTCAGCACGAGAGTGAGGAGTCCTTGATTTGCAGCAGGAACAAATGGGTTGAGGATTTAGGATTGAGGATTTAGGGTTGAGGATTTACGGTTGAGGGTTTGCGGTTGAGGGTTTAGGGTTGAGGGTTTAAGGTTGAGGGTTGATTGTTTAGGGAAGCCCTGAAACCTAAACCGCGTGGTTCTCCCATAAGCATTGCATTGTGACAGGTTTTGCTGCAAGGAAATCTGCCCATGAATCGGATGATGGGACTGCACCCGATCCATTCCACCATTCCACCATGCTCTACTGACGCTGCACCCTAAACCCTCGCCCCTAAACACTAAACCCTTAACCTTAACTCCAGATTCCTAACGAAGGAACCCTAACAGCCCTTCGGGGACATGGATTTTGCAGGACGGCCCTCCACCACCGCGACGGGCCGTCTGAGACAGAGCTGGGTAGAATAAAGATTCGGGGTTCGGGGTCAAAGGTTTCGGGTGAATAATCTCTAGGGTCAAAGACGTCGGGTTGAGGGCTATAAATTGCGAGTTTCCGGATTTGAGTTCATTAGGGCTTTTAGTGCAGAATTCATATAGGCATTCCAAGCTCCAAAGCCCCAAGGCTCACAACACCTTCGGCCCATATCTCAGCAGCAATTTCGTATCAATTGCCATATGCATGCCTAGATTGTAAGCACCTTCCTTGAGAGCATTGCTTGGGTCCCCCAGTCCTATGCCAAGTCTAGCTCTTCATCTCCCATTTCTCCCGCAAGGTTGAGATGAGGGGTTTTAGGGATTGCTTCTACCATCCGAGGGCATCTACGGAGGCATTGAGTTAACTAGTCAACTTTGCTGTTGTCCCGAAGTTGTGATGTTTCCGCTTCGGGTGTCATCTGCTGCAGTCAGGAGCATGGGCCCACAGAAGTGGATTGTCCATTGAGGCTTAGTGTTTTTCCAGCACTTTAGCAGCCCTAAGCCTTAAACCTGTGCTAGAGATCGTTTTGTTGCTCGTATCACTTCTCCTAGAGGCAACGACCTCCCGGCCCATACTCTAGGCATCCTAGACATCTGACTAGGCGTCGAAATCAGGGTACCAATATATACACCGAAGAACCATTAGATCTGCTGGAGCTGCTAGAGAATAACATCCTAGACTGGAAAGGGCCCAGGATTTCGCGACGCCTTCATCTGAACACAAAGTCAACTTTTAAATCTTCAAGTCTAGGGCTCCGTTGAAGCCGGTATTTCCAAAAAGCTACAAAAATTGCACCTACAGCGGGTTCCCTTTATGTAGCTTCTTGGAATCCTTATCATGGAATGACCGTCTTTTGAGACAAAGACTAGTGGGCTTTGAGGGTACTTAAAACGTCGGCCACATCAAAAGTAGAATGCCCGGCTGCGCGTCATCCCTCCAAGCAATCACGAAGCAGGCCCAAAGCCAAAAGTCCATTCCCACAGCCTTCAGTAATGAAATAAAAACGAGAAGCACATGGAAAATGACATTGAAACTGCTGTCAGATAGCCCTAAGTTCCAAGTCTTGAGGCTGCTGGAGCCTGGCCGCTTCAACGCAAGAGCACCGAAACTGGCATGGCGACCACAAGATGTCCCGTCACAGGCTACTTTTAACAAACAACTTGATCACAAGAGGTTTAGAGACCGCAAGCCCCCAAACTCGAGATCTAGACAGAGAGCGGATGCCGCTGAAGGGCATCCTAGAAGCGGCCACAAAGCTGCACTGAGCGATTTCAGTGTGATGGCCAAAGTGCACCTGCAGAATGAGAGGTTCAGAAGGCTCGTGATGGCCGCCTGTAGGCTTTCTAGCGTGTCTGTGTAACTTCGCGTTTGCGATCGGTGGTCCGAATGAGGCATCAACTGATTGGGCCTCCTTCCAGTGAAGTGGAGCCTTTGGGGAGGTGATGAGTGTTCTTTGCCTTCACGTAGTTTGGCCACCTTGCGTTTGAAGGCTAGCCTGGGTTCCAAATCTGCACTTTGGCGAGTACGTCTTCATTGAAGTCTGCATCGTCAACATCAGTTCCTGTAGCACCCCGCTTGAATTCACAAAGCCGAAGATGATCAAGCGTTGGCTTGTATTTGTAGAACCCGAAGAAGCTTTGTAGATGTGCAATGCTTCTGTTGTGGTGGAGTCCCTAGCCCAGAATTATGGGTCACCGTCAGCAGGATGTCCTCACATTCCCGCTTAAGCAATGGTCACTTTTCGGCCATGTTCTGGGCTCCTTCTGCAGGAGCGCGCACTTTCCGAGCGCACGCTGCCAGTGAATGCTGGCGAGCTAGGAAGATGTGATGCATAGCAAAGACGGTAGGTCGAGTCTTGCTCAACATAGCCTGGGTCAGAATACTTAAAACATGGAATCCTAGGCCCCGAGAAGCTCCTTGTTGTCAAGGCGTATGGAAAAATCTCGATTTTGGACCTCTTGCAGTTTAGGGTTTAGGGTTTCGGGATTGGGGTTCAGGGTTTGCCAGCACCTTCCAAACCTCATGAGCCCTCTTTATCCACTCAACCTCGCAATGCAGACCCCTAGAAACAAAATCCTTACTGGTTGTACAGGGTTTTTGTTTGCTGGCTTGCAACTTGCCTCGGCCGAAGGCCAGGGAAGCTGTGGCGAAACTTTGGCGGGTGCGAACTAAAACTGTGCTGCTGCTAAGGTTTAGGGTTTAGGGTTTTTGGATGCATGGTAGACAACATGGTCTTATTGTAGTTGTTCTTCAGCTGAAGTTCCTGAACGCCAACCCGGAAAAGAAAAGATAGTGGGCAGTATCATGTTGCGGCAAGAGTCGAATGTTGCGTGCATGGGAGAACAGAGACTTGGAAAGGGGTCTGATGAGTTCATAATGAAGAACCTACCGAGTTTCCTAGCGTCATTTGAGTGCACCAGTCGAAAGTCATCAGATTAGACGCTATAGACTCGTTAGTCCAGTTTAGTGCCATTAACCTAAAGGGCTCCCATGTTGAGAAACCTACACTTCATATGAGCTATAGTCTAAACTCCTAGTATCCCCCTTAATAACCGTTATATTAGTCCCCTAGACAGTCCCCTATATAACCCCCTGTAAGGAGTTTAGACCCCCTCTTCATATGGGAGTTTCTCGGGCATGCCGAAAATCATAGTCTGCGCCAGCTTCCATGAAGGAAACCCTAAACCCTGAACCCCAAACTATACCTTTGACTGTTCCTAGGCCAGTATTGGGTTGATGGTGAGGAACTTAGGTACAGCTGCCAGAGTATGGCTGGCCTGCTAAATACGGGCTTTCCTTGCAGCGGTAGCTGAATTCCAGTTTCTTAGCAGCAGCCCAGATGATAGAACCTGAAGATATTCCCAAGCTCGACGCTCTTGAGGGGGGTCCCTGGGTTGGTATAGAAGCCCTTCATTAGGGGTTTAGGGTTTGGTCTAGAAGCTCTTGATCCTTTGAATGTGTTTCCGAACTGCTAGTCCTATAGCCAACTAAAACCATTGCTGTTTTCGTTGTTGTCTTGGCGCTTGTCCTGATTGCCAGATCATTACTTAACCTCCCTAACAATCCTAAACCCTAAACCCTAAATCCTAAACCCTAAGCCTGTTGCTCCTCTTATTGCCTACGGCGAGGTGTGCTCACCCTGGATGCGGTTGCGCAGAGTTCTCCTACGTGCCGGTGGGTGCCCCTCCTAAGGCTTTCAGTTTAGGAATGCAGGTACCCCGCGTTCCCTGGTTGAAGTTTGGGGGGACAAGGTTGGGAGCCTACTATTGTTTTTATTTATCATTATTATCACTATTATTGGAATGCAGGTACCCCGCGTTGCCTGTTTGAGGTTTGTTGGGCAAGGCTGAGAATCCAGGTGCCGGCTCAGGGCGCAGGGTTCAAGTGTTTGGGTTTCGGGTCTCAGGGCTGGGTTGCGGTGCTGATTTAAAGGTGACTAATGTTAGACTTGACAGGCTCCCACTCATGAATGGTTGAGGTCTTTGCTGCCTCAACCTGCACATTTCGCTTTGCAGGAGTGCTGCTCCAATTCCTCAAGATCCTTCCATCCTACTAGTGATGCTTGGCATGACCTCGCTCGGCTCCCGCAGCTTCTTTGTTTTTTAAAGTTATGTCGGGATTGTTGCTTCAGATCCACTTGTTTTCAGGAAGTGCTAACATCTGTTCTGCAGTGCAGATAGTTGAAGTTGGCCCTGATATCGGGTGCTTCGTCATCTCCAAGACTTCTAGGTCTTCAGTGTGTAGGGAAAGGCCAAGCGGGAGGTGAGATGCCCTAGCAGCAATCAGGCTCATTTTCCACAAGATCTCCAAAGTCAAAGCCCTGACACCCCAAAGCCGCAAAGCTTGGACCCAGCACCCCAAGACCTTCAACCCTAAGCACGCCTGTAGCCTGACCCTAGCTCTTTTCAACGGTAGGTAGGGAAAAGCCCAAGTAACAAGCAGGTAATATCCCACAATATCCTTTAGTAAGCCTACTTAGCTTCAATGTCTTAATTTGGGCCGGTGCCACATGGTCGTGCTGCTGACCGGCAAGACATGCTTGCTCCCGGAGGGCTCCAGGCTCCTTGGGTTTGGGCTACAGGGTTCCAGTATCGGATTCAGGGGTTTGGGGATGTTACATGGGGGTATTGTGATCCTTAACCCTAGACCCTAAAATCCTAAACCCTAAACTCCATCCACATTCTTGAGTTTTGTTGCCTCTAAGGAAACTGCAGAAGCAGGATCCTTCTCTATGACAGTTAAGTAGTTTACGTGGAGTTCAGGGCCACCATTATCATTATTACTATTACTAGTATTGCTATTACTATCAGTCGTACTACTATTACTATGATTATTGTTATTGTTACGATTATTATGATGATTAATCTCACTTTGATAAAGGACTGTGAGTCATTGGCTCCAGAAACAGACATGATCAGATCCCCTGTAGGCGCATAATGCATGACCAGCATTATTCCAGAGGGTTCCTACTGTGGCTTTGCTCCAACAGTCCCAGACTCCCAGACCTACCTCTGAGTACTCAGGCTCCTAGTTCAGCTGCCAGAATTCCCTGTCTTAGCTCTATAGTACTTTGCGAGTTTGGCCAGGGGTGAGCATGGGCGCTTAGTTTCAGGTCAGGATTATAGCCAGGGTTCCTTCAAAAAAATGGGAGTCGGAAGACTAATTGGGCAGCTTCGTATGCTGTGACAAAGCGTTTTGGCTGTCCAGGCGCAATACGCTGCGGCCACTGCGGTATACCTTTGTTACAAGTCATCGAAAGCGAGTATTCACCTTTCGAAAACGGATGAAATTCACCAACTGAGCTGAAGGGAAGTCTATTCTTCGGCACTGAGCAAGGACGACTGCATTAAGAAACCGAACCAAATCCATATTCTTATCGTAATTCTTGTGCATCTTGGGATTTACAGAGTCCCCTTCCTGGGGATCACATCCCTATCCCAGTGTTGTAGTTCCTGTGTATCCCTGGGATTTAGATTCCCACTTTTGGGGATCACGCCCATATCCCAATGTGGTGGTTCCAGGTCCTGCCTCATGCGAGTGAGCCGCCGCGGTCCTCCTTACGCCCCGTTGCCGAATCATATGGATTCAAGCGGGACTGCGCTTTGGAAGGTTTGGGTCTGAGGGTGTGTGAAGAGTTGAGGGCATAACCCTAAACCCAAAACACTAAGCCTAAACTGCATGGTTGGTTTCATGGTTTAGGGTTTGAGGGTTTGAAGTCTGGCCAAGAGGGTGTAGGCTTTTTTTCAGGGCGCAAGGTTTAGGGTTAAGGGGTTGTCTTGGCCTGAGGACTTTGGTCTCTGAGATTTGAATTTTTAGGGAATCAGTTCTTTGTCTGGATCTGAAGCCTCGGTGTGTTTGAGCAGTTTTCTGAGATGCTTTGCCAAAAGAACTTTTTTTGCAGTGGCTGATCTATGCTGAATAGGCCTCAGAAGGACAACTACGGCCCTCCTTCTCCACATTCCGCTTATTCATCTGCCGCATAGTGTACATCCAACGCCCTGTACCCCCAACGCCCGCAGTTCTGGATTTCAAGAGTTACGGTCCAGGATTATGGGTCGCGTTCCATTTTGATTCAGCACTCCTGTAACGACCACAGTCGTCAACATCCTTCATACTTGAACCTCGAAGCCTTCCTGGATCTCAGTGACCGCAGCGCTATGGGCAATCCCTCTCAGTCTAGCCGTTCTGCATCGTGTCTTTCGGTTTTTAGTTCACTCCACTGGTCTTAAGTCTCTGGCCCCACGCCCCTAATAAACCCGAAGCCCTAACCTTAAATCCTGAACCCTAACCTCAAACACTTTTGGCTCATGGGGCTGTGGCTTGCATAAGGGTTTGATGAGAAGTGCACCATGCCTTTGACGCCCCGGCTCTCACTTCCCAACCCTCACCATTAGGGCTTGGGGTTTGGGGTTAAGGGTGTAGGGATTAGGTGTTTAGG